AGGAGGATGAGGAAACACTTTTATTATTCATTTGTAAGTTCATCATCATATAGTTTAGCTACAAATGGTAATGAAATTAGTGAATCATCTTAGGGTTCTTATTCCAACCAACCAAATGCATATTTCCCATCTTACCTTGAACAAAATCCTAGTTATGGATATTTTGATCATCATTTATCATATAACATGTTTTCTACCCATGATGCATTTATGATGCACACAATGTGATTTCTTCTTCACATGGAATATGAAGGAATAAAATCAAGACAATTATGAAGATGAAAATACTTTAGATTCGCCACGCCATTCTTTTTGGTGGTGAATTATAAGAAAAAGAACTTTTATATTTGCATTTATGTATATATTTTTTTTCCTTTTTAAGTTATGTAAAATGAATTATCTTATGTTAAAATATGATAACTTTGATATGTTTTTTGAAGAGATTATTTAATGTCTCCTACCTATTGTTTTTACCTACCATGCAGGAGAGTAAAATATAGTCGTAAAATGTATAAATATAATATTTTAGAAGTATTGTGATTTTTTAGGAAGAAACCACGCCCATGACAGCTGTAAAGTGTTATGTAAAGTCCACAGCATCCGTAACCATGACATCGCAACCACATCCGTGATAAATGTCGCAACCGTTATTTTATATTATGGTGAAACAGCTTCAGGTCATGGGTTCAATCCATTTGAACTACATATTTTCATATTTTTTTGCACTGAAAGGGAGGGTTAATTTCAAGCTTGGGTCCCTAAACTTTCAAGAATTTTGAAAACTGCCCTAACATCTTTAAAATCTTATAAATTGATGCCCAAAATTAATTAAATAAATTTAATTTAAAATCAAACGAAAATTGGGCGGGTGTTACAGTGAAGATGAAAAGAAGAAAGAAAGAAGACAAAGGATGTGAGGATCCTTTCCCAACCGTGACCTCACTCTCAATTAATGAGATTCAACCTTTGTTTTAAAAAATGGGATAACTACTCCCTAGTCTTTCCACCTTTGCTCTAAGATTAAAAATGCTCTTTTTTGAGTCTATTTGGGTTTAAACCAAGCCCCATCTAAAACAACTTGGACTTAAGGTTTCCATAAGGCTATTGGTCTTACCCAAGACCCCTTTCGATTTAGCCCAAAACTCTTAATCTGGAATTTGAGGCATTACAAACCATGTTTACAAGGATATATCAACACTAAATTAGGGAGACAAAAAATAAAATTTGAGGAAGTTATGGTGATAAAAAAACTAGGAGAAAAAAAAAGAGTAAATGATATATATGGAGATATTTTGATAAATCTATTAAGTAAAATATATTCATTGCTCTGAGTGGGTTGATTTTTTTTTCTTAAATCCAACTCTAACTCTCGTATTCATAAAAGTTTACCTGAGTTAAACTCAAATTTCAAAGAAAAAACTCAATCCTATAATATCATATCGAAACCCGCTGAACTCGAGTCTTATGGCCATCATTATACAAAGGGCAGTGTATTTTGATCCTACTAAAACTATTAATTTTATAATGTAAATTTAAATAAATACTTGTATTAATTTAAATTATAATATATTATTTTTTAAAAATAATGTGACATTTATTCATCAATGATAATTCAATTCTAATGGTTAAGTTTAACTCAATAATATTGATTAATATAATGATTTAGATTAAGTTACAACTTGTCTACTGAACACTCTTTGTTATTTATAAATATTGATTCATATTTTAAATTAATTCTTTATCATTTAATTAAGTTTTTTTTTAAAATTTAATAGTTTTCTTATAACTTTTATATAAATAAAAGTTGGATGAATATTGTATACATTAATATATAACATTATACACTTTCAATAATTCATGTGACGATATGTCAATAAAAAATAAATTTAATTTGAAAATTATATAACGATGTCTCAATATTTAATTCACGCAATATACAAAATTTATATATTATCAATACATAAGATATTAGTTTATAAAAAATTAACTTTATATATATTAAAGTTTAATTTGTTTTATAAAATTTTATTAGTTAAAATGATTTTAATAAAACCCACTTGATTGCATGATTAGACATTCGTATTGAATCTTTGAGTAAATTATATATTTAGTCATCCGTATTTTCGTTTGATTTCATTTTGATCACCCAACTAATTTTTTTAAAAAAATTATACTTAACGTTATGTTATAGTTTTATTTTAATCACCCGCAGGTTAAAATTAACAAAACTGCTGAAATGGAATTTTTTTATTTCCAATAATGACTTGGCATTACCTTATGATAACACGTCAGTATCACCATTAATTTTTTAACGACTGATGACCAAATGAAACCAAAATACAAAGTTAAGTATATTTTTTAAAAATAAATAGTTGGGTGACTAAATGGAACTGAGTGAATAGTTTGATGACTAAATATGTAATTTACCCAAAAATCTTTTTTTATTAATAAGTTTGTAACATGCTTCAAAATAGAACAACAAATGTCAACCAAATATTGCAAGTTTAAAAGTGGTTGAGTTTGGACCGAACGGTGGGTTTCTGAACAATAACCATTTATCTCCTCTAGGATATTGTCTAAAGAAGAAGAAGTGTGAAAGTGGGATTCACATCTTGTCTCCTCTCACATTGAAAAACTATTTATCTCAGCAATATATAAATGGGTAAAGTATACAAATGGTCCTATGACTATAGAATATTATTTTATTGAGTCTCGTGACTATTAAAAGTTATAAATTGATTCCTCAACTATAGGGAGTTGCTTTATTGAGTCCCTCAACTATTAAAAGTTACAAAACAGTCACTTGACTATTCATTATGATCCAAACTCGTCCTTTTCCATTAAAAATTTAACGACAGCCTGAGTTGGACGTTAACCTATTGACTAAGATGTAATAAATTATGATATCATAATCTCAAACAACTATCATATCTCAATCAACATAGTAACATCCAGCTCAAACGACCGTTAGTTTGGAACAGAATAAATAGTCGGATGACTATTTTGTAACTTTGAATAGTCAAGGGACTCAACAAAGCAACTCCCTATGATTGAGGGACCATTTTGTAACTTTTAATATTCAAAGGACTTAACAAAGCAACTCCCTGTAATTGAGGGACCATTTTTAATTTTTAATAGTTGGGGGACTCAACAAAAAGTATGCTATAGTAGAAGGACCATTTTGTAACTTTTAATAATTGGGGGAATCAAAAAAATAGTATCCTAAATAAATTTATATATGTTTCAAAACTAGTAACCCGTTTGTAACATTTCTAAAACTAGAATTAATGTTACTTCACTTAATATATATTTTAGAAAAAATATTCTGGTTAAATATATTGTTACTTCGAAAAGTTTTGTTCAAAATAGCTAAATTAAAAAATAATTCTTCACGTTTGAAACAACTTTGGTCTGGAATAAGTTCTAGTTTAAAACAATTATATTGAGAATAATTATGTTCCAAACAACTCTTTATATCAACAATAATTGATGTTTAGAATAGGTTAAGAATAACCTTTTTTTAGGAATAATTATTTTAAAATATATTTAATTAAGAAGAATATTGTTGCAAAACAAATTATTATAGGATAAGGTTATCTGAAAATATATATATTTTTAAAGGTGTTTTATAGTTTAGGGTAAACTACATGTTTAGTATATTAATTATTACTCTTTTTTCGTTTTGGATATCCAACTATTACTTTTTTAATTATATTTAACATTATATTTTAATTTCATTTTATCACTCACCACTAAAAAAATTGGATAAAGAACACAAATAGTTCCCCGACTATAGGACGATGCTTTATTGAGTCCCTCGACTATTAAAAGTTACAAAATGGTTCTCTGACTATAGGATGTTACTTTGTTAAGTCCCCGATTATTAAAAGTTACAAAATGGTCACCTGACTATTTAGTATGTTCTAAATTCATCATTTTCTGTTAAAAAATGACGACCGTCTAAGCTGGATGGTACATTGTTGACTGAGATATAATAAAATTTGATCTCAAAATCTAAAAAAATATCATATCTTAGTCAACAGATTAACATCCAACTCAGATTGCTATCAAATTTTTAACGGAAAATGATGAGTTTTGAACATACTAAATAGTTAGGTGACCATTTTGTAACTTTTAATAGTCGGGAGACTTAACAAAGTAACACCCTATAATCGAGAGACTATTTTATAACTTTTAACAATCGAGTGACTAAAAAAAATATCACCCTATAATCAAAGAACTATTTATATACTTTATCCTAAAAAAAATAACAAAACTTTAATCTAAAACACCATACATATATAAAATAAAGGGATCCCTCTCTCTCTCCCTCTCTCTCTACCTCTCTCTCCCTCCCTCTCTCACCATACATACATAAAATAAAGGGATCTCTCTCTCTCTCTCTCTCAAACTTTAATCTAAAACAACATACATATATAAAATAAAGGGGTCTCTCTCTCTCTCTCTCTCTCTCTCTCTCTCATCTTCATAGCCCCACAAAATCATACCACTCCCATCACACGTGGTAAAACAAAAATTGATAAACTAAATAGTTGTACGGACATTGAACCCCCAAGATTTGGTGAGAAATGTCCCCTCCACCAGTCTTCGTAGCTACCATCCCCTTTCAAATCGCATAGACCCGACCAAATCTGTCAAGTTCCGATCATGACTCAAAAGCAACAGTTCCTGGTTGTTCTTAGGTTTCAACATGCCTGTTTTCAAGGCTCAAATTTCATCTCTCGGTCAAAAAAAGGCAAACATTTCATACGTTAGATGATGAAACCATTAAGATGTAGTCAACAGTAGAATGAGAAAAATAAATCCTTTTTTTAATTTGTTTCATTTGTACAGAGGAGGGAGCCATCACCCCATTACATTTCACTCTTTAGATCAACATTAGTTAAAAAGAAAACACTTGAGCTCACCAACAAACACCCACTTGTAAGTAAAAGGAAAAGCTTGAGACTAGGACATGACAACCATTGCAGTATCCAAAATGCAATAGACTCCAAAACTACTACTCCTCTTCCTCTACCATGCTTTCCTATATCATCACTCTCTCTCTTTTTTTTATAGGGGGAGGAGCCAAAGATAGTCAAAGCCATAGGGCACTAGCTTGTTTGAGAAGAGGAACAAGAGTGCCATTGATATGAGAGGCCATGACTCTATCCATTGCACCCACGAGTTTCCCACCAATGAACACAACCGGAACAGCAGGAGAGCTTCCCAGCAGCCTCATCAAAGCCTTCTCAATATCTTTCCCCCGTGGATCTTCATCCAGCTCATACACAGTCGGGTTAACTCCCATCCCACAAAATAGCCTCTTAATGACATGGCACATGCAGCAACTGCTAACACTAAAGATAACCACCGCATTCTCTGACGCCAACCTCTCTATCCTCTCCAGCGGGTCCCCGGAAGTAGTCCTGGTGGTCTGAACGTAACTCCCCCGTGAATATGTCTGGCAATGCATTTTTCTAGTAAAAGCTGGCAAAGCAAGAAATTAATGGAGGAAGAACAAAATGTTTGAGAGCTTGGTGGTGGTGAGAAGTGATGAAGGTTTTGGTAGGTATTTATAGAGAGATAGAGATATCCAAAACATGGGCAAGTTTTTTAGGGGAATCAAGTTTTATGGTTATTTTAATGTGAGAGGGTAGCTTTGTAAAGGAAAGTAAACAGAGTTGGTCTCTTTCACTCCTCACTCCAGAGTGATGTTGAGATAAATAAATGGTAGTAAAACAGATGTTTAAGTACAAAAGAAACCTAAGTTATTCAATAAAGTATGAATATTTACCTAAGCGGCGTGGCAAACTACACATTGAGAGGGAAGAAAAAATTAAAATTTTAGTACATAAATTGAGAAGAAGAATAAGAAGAATACTCGTTAGATGAAATGAGTGTGTTGTGTAAGAGATTGAAGATGAGCTACACTATTTTAAATCCATGACTTGTAGACAATCTACATTATTCATGTCATTTGTTTGTCATTGACATTTCACATCAACTCGGATAAATTGAAATGATTTCCATTAAAATCAGAGAATCTATACTATTCATGTCCTTTGATTTTCATTGAAATATCACATCAACTAAGATAAACTAAAATATTTTAGAAAATTAGGGATTCTACACTATTCATGTCGGCCAATCTTCCCCATTCACGTCCTTCCTTTGTAAGTGTAAATGCCTCTCATGCCATTGTTGTATGAATATAGCATGCTTCCTCGGCCAATTTGAAAATAAATTGTGTCGTCACCGATTTTCGCCCGGGTGGGGGAAAACTTGGTATGACTTAGGGTTTTTTTTTTTAAAGATTTTAAAATGTGAGGAGTCACCACCAATCATTTTAAGGTGCAATCGGAACACCATAAAAATCAATTGATTTTAATAAAATATTTTATTTTTATCAAAATACTAAGTTTAGGGTCTCTGAAAACCAGAAAATAGGTTTGGGAGTCAGTTACGCGTGGGGAAGGATTAGCCCATTCACAATGCCAAAAAATTGGTACTTAGTTGATTACCCTATATTTAGAATCAAAAATTTTGAGTTTGAACTTTATCGAATTTAAAAATCATTACGGATACAAAGTTGAAAAGAGTATCGTTTATTAAAGCCAGTAGCATTCTCCCCCTAGCATGAATGCAGGAGATAAGCAATTGTTCCCAATAACCAGACATTGCCTCGATATTTTAGAAATCATGATGCAGTCTTGAAAAATATGTTGACCTATTTCAGAAATCACCAGTAGTCACCCCCAAAGCATACTTACAGGAGATATACTATTGACTCCTTAATAAGTGAACATTGCCTTAGGTTTTAAAATAAGATGCAATCAAACAATTTTTTATTGACCCTAATTAAACTAAGGATAGATTAAGGCTTTCTCTATCTTAAATTGTCAAATTATGAAATTAAAAAACCTAGAGGCCAAAACTTGAAAATGTAGGCCCTAATATTAACTTAAATTAATTTTAATCAATATTGTAATTCGAATAATTAAAGTGGAATCTCAAGCAAAAGAGATGACCAAATTAAGAATTCTCCTAATTTAAGGACTAAAGTGAAATTAGGCCTAAGATGGAGGCTCTAATATTAATCCTAATAAACTTTAATCAATTATTGATTCGAATAATTAAATTGGAACTTCGAGAAATATTGAGGACCAAATTAAGAATTCACCTAATTTAAGGATTAAATATGAAATTATGCCTAAGATGGAGGCTCTAATATTAATCCTAATTAATTTTAATCAATTATGGACTATCGAATAGTTAATTCGAACCTCGAGAATAAGCGAGGACCAAATCAAAAATTCTTCAAACTTAAAAGTTTAGGGACCAAATTTAAAGGAGTCTAATTTTAAGGAGTCTAATTTTAAGGAGTAGGCCTAAAATCTAAGTAATCTAGATTAGTACTAAAATATTCTAAATATAAATCAAAAAGTTTAATTTAAAACCTAAAATTTTAAGAATATAATAAAGAAATTGAAATTAAAGACAAAAATTATAAGCAATTAATGAAAACAAAAAGGACTAGATTAAAATAAATAAAAATGAAAGATGAAATTAAAAAAATTAAGTAAAGGACTAAAATGAAATAAATCAGAATATAAAACTAAAATTAAAACAGTGCAGAAATATTAAAAGTTGGAATTTAAAGTACTGAAATGTAAGCAATTAATAATTTTAAGCAGAATTAAAATAACATAATTTTAAAAAGGCAAAGTTAAAATAACAATAATTAAACAATCGAATATAAAATTATAAGTTAGGGGTTAATTTTCAATTGTTACTCGAACCATGAATGACGTGAATCACACCCCAAGGCGGGTCATCGTGCGGTTGTAGAATAATTTGAATATATTTGAATATAAACAATAAGGGACCAAAATGTAATAAAATAAGATAACAATATGCCAAATCAAAAATAAATAGTTATGAAAATGCATAAATTGAAAATATAACTGATTAGTGATTGAAATGAAACAAAATAAAGAAATAGGGATCAATTTCAAATAAATAAAAGCAAACATATGACTAAATTGAAACAAATAAGAATAAGGAGTCAAAACCAGAATAAACTAATAAAACAAGACCCTAGTGACCAAAACATAAGAACACTGCAAAGATAGAATGGCTCGAAAGCAAATAAGCTAAAAGTTAGCATTAGAACATAAAATGGGAAAATAACAAAATAAGGATAATTTAATTTGAAATAAAATGAAAATGACACATCATAGTGACCAAAATGTAAACTATATGAACTTGGGAGGTTCGCGCGCATGATTGACCATTAGGGACCAAAACACACAGGTATAATCCCAAAACGACGTCGTTTTATTTTGGTTATAAATACCTTTTTATCACCCTTTTTTCATTTTATCTATCATTTTTTTTCATTTTTTTAGAGAGAGAAACTCTCTCTTCTCTCTAAACCATGGTCGTTTACCGACCATCTCAACCACCACCGGCTGCTGCTGTGGTCGTCGAAGACGGCAGCCGTTTGACACCAAAATTCATAGGGATGTTCCCCTCGTCGTTGAGATCTCGGATTGGGCCACGGTTTTGCGAGATCCAACATCTAACTCCACAAAAATGGCTGAGAACGTTTCAACTTCTACCATGACGATCTCATTCGTCAGTCGTTAGATCGTCTCCATTTCAAGATAAGTTGTTTGTCGGCCTCTTTTCTCCCTCATGACCATTCGAATCTTCGAATAGGATCCCCCAACACCGGCGAAGCCTCCGACCGAGGTAAGGCTTCTTCTTCTCTTCTCAATCTTTCTCTTTTTCTGCATTTGTTTTGCTTGATTTCAGATGAAAGTTGAAATGAGAGAAAGCAATGATATTTTCTTTTAGGTTAGTTTCGAAAAATCAAGAAAAATAACTATTGGAAACTATTTTTATTACTTTTGAAGTCGAGAGAGGGGATCCCTTTACATTGTTGTTGCCTGGGTTTTATAGAACCCATTACAAGCAAAATAAAAATATATTTCTCCTTTTGGTCGCATGTAACATGCTGATGAGACCGGCAGCCTGGGAGTAGAGATGACATGGAGATGGTGTCACAGTGATCGGGGCATTGATTGTCCCGAATATTCAAGGATCACCCCTTTTTTCTCTTTTTTATTTATTTTATTATTATTATTATTATATTTATTTATTTATTATTATTATTCGGCATAAAAAATGATGATTAAAAATTGATTAATAAAATTATATAAATAATTATTATTAATATTATAATTTTTTCAAAAGTAAAATAAAATAAAAGAAATTAAATTTACTGTAGTCAACTCGATCGACGAAATATGAATATCATCAAGACGCAACATTTCTTCTCTTGAGGTCATTTCAACACAAAATCTTCAACAAAAAAGTTTTTACTCTCGATAGAATGTTTATGTTTGATTTCAAGTGAAAAATCAATCTAACTCAAACATTTATTTATACTACTCTATCCAACAGCTATAAAAAACTAGTTTTTTTCAAATTGAAATTAGCCGTTGGAACTCGTCACACCGGCGTAACTAGTTTCATAGAATTTTTTTTAAAAAAGTTGACCGTTGGCTAACGGTTCCCCAAACGGTTGAAGATTTCAAATTTTTACCTTTGAAACTAGTCACACCGGCGTGACGAGTCTTGTTTCCATTAAAATAATATATATATATTTTTCAATCTTTTTAAAATTCGAAAAAAATATTTTTAATAGGGACTCGTCGTACCCGCGCGACGAGTCCCAAAAAAAGTATTAAATATATTTGGCTCGTGGAACCCACTTCCCAAGGCCTATTTGCGTGAGGAGTTCCAACTACACTGTTGCTTTTACCGTAGATCCCAAAATAAAGTTGGAGTTGGCCTATTGGGCTAAATAATCGACCCGATACCAATATTTGCCTAATTATACCTCCTTTTCACCCTCTGTTACTAAAAATTATTATATGGACTCGATTCATCACGTAAACTTTGGTCTCAGTTAATTAGATCCATCAATTTCAAAATAACTTTCAGATAACTACCCACTCTTTATTTACATGTAGAAAAGATGTGAAAATTCACCTTGGAAAAACAAATAAGATAGATAGATTTTATTCACCAGGACCACAAATAATGTGATGAGTTAAGTCAATCTAATAATTTTCCCCTGTTACACTAGAGGAATATTTATTTTTATCCTTTAAGATTTTATAAATTGGTCTTCTTTCTAAAACTTTAAAAGGTCATTCTACATGAACCAACTTACCTAAGTGGTTAAAGAAATCGTTGTTATTCCTAGAGGTCATGAGTTCGAGCACCAACGACTGTAAGAGTGATTGAGCATTCATTATCAAACGATTGAGAATATTTAGAACATATATTATTTTGTAATCACCTTAGCTTAATAAAAAAAATCATACTCTCAACATAAAATTAAGCCCTAGGGTTTATGTTGTATTAAATCATACTTTTTTTTATAAAATCTATTCTTTAAAACATATTATAAAATAATTAAATCTTAATTGAATTGATATTATTCTTACAATAAT